TGTATAGAATTTTGTATAGAATATTTTTTGTATAGAATATTTTTTAAAAAATCCACGCCTTATAATTTCTTCAAAAAATATTTTTTTTAAAAAATCCACGCCTTATAATTTCTTCAAAAAATATTTTTTTTTAAAAAATCCACGCCTTATAGAAGACCTCTGAAATTTTTTTTTAAAAAATCCACGCCTCATAGAAGACCTCTGAAATTTTTTTAAAAAATCCACGCCTTATAATTTCTTCAATAAATATTTTTTTAAAAAATCCACGCCTTATAATTTCTTCAAAAAATATTTTTTTAAAAAATCCACGCCTTATAATTTCTTCAAAAAATATTTTTTTAAAAATCCACGCCTTATAATTTCTTCAAAAAATATTTTTTAAAAAATCCACGCCTTATAATTTCTTCAAAAAATATTTTTTTTTAAAAAATCCACGCCTTATAATTTCTTCAAAAAATATTTTTTAAAAAAAGCCACGCCTTATAATTTCTTCAAAAAATATTTTTTAAAAAATCCACGCCTTATAATTTCTTCAAAAAATATTTTTTAAAAAATCCACGCCTTATAACTTCTTAGAAAAAATGTTTTTTTTTATCTACGCCTTATAATTTCTGCAAAAAATATTTTTTAATATTTTTGGGGATGATAGATACCAAGCAACTGTGATTAGCTTTAACATGGCGAAGTCCAGGCTTATCTTCGTCCCTCTTTCATCTCAATTGTGGACACTGACCTCCCCGCGGTGCCACCTGGGGAGCTATTTTCATCACCCGATGAAATAGTGAGCTAATATGTGCCGCGAATTCACCCATAAGAACTATAAGAAATGGGTTGAGGCGTCGGGTTAGTTGCCCACACTCGGAAAACTCCTCCTACTATGAAAAAGCTAAGAAAAAGAAAACCAAACCCCCCTAATGTTGACGACCCCGCAAACGTATAAAGGATCACGATCTGCGAATCTGCACTTGGAATGTGCGCATGTTGTACAAAACAGGCGCAGTGTTCGCTCTGGCGGATGTACTCAAGAAGTACAAGGTCGATATTATTGACTTACAGGAAATACGATGGAAAGGGACTGGCGTAAGTAAATCAGATTATTACGCCCTGTATTATAGCTGCCATGAAACGAGACATGAATTTGACTGCGGATTTATGGTTAACAGGAAAATAAAAGACCTCGTCTCCAGATCAGGCATGCTCAGCCATACACGCTACCGTAACTGACCGTCGTTGGTTAAACACGCATTCTCATTTTTCTTTTTTCGTCAGTCGTTCAGTTACGCTCACCCACAATTACTCTCAATTTTATTATGCCCATCACTGCTCCAGATTCACTCCAGCAGATGAGCGAATTGCTATAATCCGTTCAAAAGCGAAGTTCTTCTACATCAGTCTCATTTGCGCCCATGATCCGACCGAAGATACAGATGAACAGATCAAAGACATATTTTACGAGCGCCTAGAAACAGCATATGACCGTTGCCCTGACCATGACATTAACATTCTGCTAGGAGATTTTAATGCAAAAATATCTTTGGCTCCACCGTAGGAAAATTCAGCCTCCATGAAGAAACATCAGACAACGGCATGAGGTTGATTGCCTTCGCGGAAAAAAAACATATTAGTTAGCAGCACCAGATTCAAGCATCTCGATATACACAAGGCCACTTGGATTTCCCCCGATCGAACAACGAGAAATCAAATCGATCATGTTGTGATAGAGGGAAGGCATTCATCCACTGTTTTAGACGTCCGATCGATCCGTGGAGCGAGTATCGATTCGGACCATTACCTTGTGGCAGCCAAGGTACACAACCGTCTTAATGTAGCAGCAAAGGTGCGATCTAATTTAACAAGGAAATTTGATGTCGAAAAGCTGCAAACACAAAAGATAGCAGAAGCCTACTCCGCTCAACTTACCTAACTGCTTGACGAAAGCACCCCTTGTCCCGATAATAATATAGAAGTACAATGGCAGATAATTGCCCACTCCCTACAAACTGCAGCAAAAGCAACACTTGGTTACCAAAGACCACCATCAAGAAATCCGTGGTACGATCAGGAGTGTCGTAATGCTACTGATATGAAATACACAGCGTAGAGAGTACGATCAGGAGTGTCATAATGCTACTGATATGAAAAACGCAACGCAGGGCAACCCTGCGGACAGTAGCAACACGTAATGCGATGGAGAACTATCGGGAGAAAAGGAGAGAAGAGAAACTTATATTCAGAAAAAAGAAGAAAGAGCAAGAAAAAACGTGAGCGTGAGCAAATTGAGATGTACAGGAGTCAGAATAAAGTCCGAAAATTCTACCAAGGGGTAAAACACCAATCCGAAGGCTTTGGTGCAGGCACATCCTCCTGTAGAGATAAAGAAGGAAATCAGGTGACAGATACAGACAGCGTGCTGAGGATCTGGAAGGATCATTTTGAGGAACTTCTGGTATCAAATAGTAGCGGCGAAGTGGATACCCTAGAACTAATAATAGATGACGGTATAGAGTGTATACCACCAGCCAAAAATGAAGTCAGAATAGCAATCAATCGGCTGAAGAATAATAAAGCAGCAGGTGCCGATGGGTTACAAGCCGAACTATTGAAGACTGGTGGTCAGATGCTGGTAAGGAACATGCACCAGCGGATTAGTACAATTTGGCTAGAGGAATGCATGCCCAATGATTGGAACCTCAACATCCTGTGTCTCGTGCACAAAAAAGGTGACAAGACTATATGTGCCAACTATAGAGGAATAAGTCCCCTTCCCATCGCATATAAAGTACTATCCAGTATACTGTGTGAACGACTGAAGCCAATGGTCAGTGACATTATTGGACCATACCAATGTGGCTTCAGACCTGACAAATCCACCATTGATCAGATTTTCACTCTGCGCCAAATCCTGAAAAAAACCCACGAAAAACACATCGACACATACCACCTATTCGTCGACTATAAAGCCGCCCTATCCGTTCAGAGGTGTATAAAGCCATGTCTGCGTTTGGCATTCCTGCAAAATTAATTCGGCTATGCAGGATAACTTTAACTGGCACAAGATCAGCAGTTAAAGTCCGAAAGGACCTCTCGGGACCCTTTAATACCGAATGAGGATTCAGACAAGGTGATAGTTTGTCGTGTGACCTTTTTAATATCCTGGTGGATAATAAAAAGGTGTACAGAGTGCCTGCTGGCAACAAACAACACATGTTACTCGCCTACGCCGATGACATCGACATAATGGATCGAACATTGAGAGCGGTAACAGCCACCTTTGAACAAATTGAGAAGGAGTCTGCCAAAGTGGGTCTGGCAGTAAACAGCGAGAAGATCAGGCTGATGGTATCAACGCACAAGACGCCCAGTAGAGTCGGACCAACTGTGGAACTTGAGAACTACAGCTTCGAGGTAGTCAACGATTTTATATACCTTGGTATCGCCATAAATAAAACGAATGACACAAGTTTTGAAATTAGGAGAAGGATAGTGATGGCCAACCGATGCTACTATAGTCTGAGCAAACAACTCAAAAGCAAGGCCACCTTTCGCCAGACTAAACTCAATCTCTCCAAGATACTGATACTATCCGTGCTATTATATGAGTCTGAAGCATGGGTACTTGCGCAAGCAGATGAGGTTGATGGTATCAACGCACAAAACGCCCAGTAGAGTCGGACCAACTGTGGAACTTGAGAACTACAGCTTCGAGGTAGTCAACGATTTTATATACCATGGTATCGCCATAAATAAAACGAATGACATCAGTTTTGATATTCGGTGAAGGATAGTGATGGCCAACCGATGCTACTATAGTCTGAGCAAACAACTCAAAAGCAAGGCCACCTTTCGCCAGACCAAACTCACACTCTCCAAGATGCTGATACTACCGGTGTTGTTATATGGATCTGAAGCAAGGGTACTTGCGCAAGCAGATGAGGCAACTCTTGGAGTGTTTGAGAGAACAAATTTCCGAAAGATCTATGGGCCGATCTGCGTTGACGGTGAATATCGCCGTCGAATGAACCATGAGCTGTACCAGCTATTCTTGGACATCGACATTGTTAGACGTATTGAGCTGCAGCGGCAGGCTAGGTCATGTTATGAGAATGGATGAAGATGACCCAGCCTAGAAGGCTTATATAAGCGTACCAGCTGATGGTTCCCGCAGAAAGGGAAGGCCAAGAATACGTTGGAAAGATCAAGTCGAAGACAATATCGCCGAAAATGGTCTTTCAAATTGGAAAAACTGCGCAAAAGAACGACGCGCCTGGAAATCTTTTCTAAGTTCGGCTTATGGAACATACGTTCTGTCACAAGCCAGCTGAGTAAGTAAATATATTTTTTAAAAAATATTTTTTAAAATCCATGCCATCCATTTTGGTCTTTGACAAAAATATATTTTTTTTAAATCCACATCTTAATAATTTGTAGAAAATAATGCCATACATTCCCCACTAATAAATAGTTGTTTTTTATAAAAACAACAAACTGGGATTAAGCCTGACTATTTTGCAAAAACAAAATTTTTTATTATATATAAAAAAGTCCATATAATAATTCTAAAACATAAATACATTATATAAGTATATATGGCATACGATTATAAGATTAGTTAAAGCTCAAAAATATTGCAAAACTTATAAAAAAGAGAGAGAATCTTGTGCAAAAATACATTAAATCTTATCTAAAAATCTAAGTTAAAAAATGAAAAATAAAACAAAAATAAAATCATTGAAAATATTTCAATGGTTGAGTGTTTTTTTTGCTTCACACAAATTCGCTTATCAATTGGGAACGCTTTGGGAGACTAGTTATTAAGATAATAATTGCTGTATAGACGCAAAATGTTTGTCAACTCTACTGCACTCTTTTTGAAAGTCACCTCCCTAGCCTATTTAGTTACTAACTTATCACTAACATAGTTTTTGTTATTGTTTTCTTAGTTAATCTCTGTCACTAGTGATTTTCTTTTTTTCTGGTTATCAGCCGCGCTGACCACTGTCCTATATTCTTTGGGGCATTTTTTTGGCATATACCACAGCATTGGTGAAATTAAAGGAAAATTTACATTTTCTTCCGCAGGCACTGGATGCTCGACAGCCCAGTCTTCGAGCTACCTCCAAGAAATCGACCATCAATTTTTCATGCATGGAGGGGGGAATGTGTTTCAGGAAAAAACTACTGGCAGCCATGTGATCTGAAAAATAAAACCAAAAAAATTAATTATTATATTTTTTTCAATTTAAAGGTTGTTCAGACTCACCTGAAAATTCCTGGGGAGTTTCATAAATGTAAACATCATAGGTCATCTGGACATGGACATTATAGAAACCAATATCCTGTAGTAATTTAACCAAGGCGAATTCTTCAATTCGCTGCAAGGGACCATTGAAATAATTTGTGTGGCCAAGATATGGCGCCCAAGTGGATGAATCTTTAAGGGCTTCATAAATATCCACAGTGGGTATATAGGGGGCAAAAGACAGCAGGCAATCACCACCTTCGGGCCTTATCAAATCGTAAATGTTTCGCAAGGCTTGCCTAGAAAAACAAAAACAACAACAAATTATTAACAACTCCGTGCAAGAATATTCTTAAAAAAATCCACGCCTTGTGTTGGACCCTTGAAAAAATATTCTTTAAAAAAAAATCCACGCCTTGTGTTGGACCCTTGAAAAAATATTCTTTAAAAAAATCCACGCCTTGTGTTGGACCCTTGAAAAAATATTCTTTAAAAAAAATCCACGCCTTGTGTTGGACCCTTGAAAAAACATTCTTTAAAAAATCCACGCCTTGTGTTGGACCCTTGAAAAAATATATTTTAAAAAATCCACGCCTAGTGTTGGACCCTTGAAAAAATATTCTTAAAAAAATCCACGCCTTGTGTTGGACCCTTGAAAAAATATTCTTTAAAAAATCCACGCCTTGTGTTGGACCCTTGAAAAAATATTCTTTAAAAAATCCACGCCTTGTGTTGGACCCTTGAA